CTTCAGAATGATTTATTTCACCTTTGTGATAAAATTGAGCTACTTTCTCCGAAGTTTTGGGCAGCCAGCCAATACAAAAAACTAGTTTTCAAGTGTGCTGCCTTTCATGGTTTTAGCCCCTGTCACCAATATCCATTGTTAATTATTGTTTAGCATTTCTCCTAGGGCACATCCTGGGCTTACAGACCGGGGCGCCGAATAATTCGTACATCCCTGCGGCGGGGTATAGGTTCAGACCGGTATTGGGGTGAAGACGCCCTTGAATCCATGCAATAAAAAGCCCTGCGAGGAAAGTAGGCCATGCAGCTCAGGGGTCAGAGCGGTGACCCTAGGTTCAAATCCAGGTGGCCAGGTGTGGTGGCGTTAACGGTCTCAGCAATGAGTGCTCAAAAAAATATGTAAAACATAAATGTGGCGAGCAGGTAAGGGGGGGGATCTAACAGGGGGAAAATAAGTTGCACTTTACACAGATGCTGACAGCACAGCTGGTAAATAAAACTACTTTGTACATGACCATTCGGTATCGGCACCATGAAATAATTACAAGCGCGTAGACAATGCATGTTTTAAAAGGAGCAGTTTTAAACGCACTTCATTCAGAATTTTGATTTCCTTACCCCCCCGGGGACCTGTGATTACCACGGTTGGCTTCGTACGGCGCCCAAGAAGTGCAACGTACATACATACATACAATGTGATGTTTGCCCACATTCCCCAACTGTGGCATGCCGTTAGTTCTCTTCAAGGAGCCGTTCCAATTACTTAAGCGCTGCCTCGACTTCATAAAAGACACTTATCCACATCTCCCTGCTGGAATCAACAAAACAGAGAGCAGCTGCATACATGGTGCATACATTGGAAGCGACCTCCCCCAGGCTAATTCTGCCAAAAGACAAGAGTGACCAAACATGTCTTTCGCATAAATGCATAATCGAGTTCTCTAATGACATTTAACCCAATCGCATACAGACAAACGCCAGGAAATGCCACGGGGTAAGGATCGAGCGAGACTCACCAATCGCCTTTTTGAAACGTGACATATTTAGATGCAAAATTAAAAACCAAAAGATCTACCGTAAACAATCATCATCGCCGCTCTCACTGCAAAACAATGTCCTTCATGCAGTCTGCATTGAGAGGAAATGTCTCTGAAATCAAAGCGGATACTGCTAAGGGGCGAAGCGTGGCACTGCGCATTCGTTTTCACATGACACGGGGGGAGTGAATAATGAAGTGCACGTTTAATTGAACACTACCATCGGGTGCAGAAGAAGAAAAAAACAACCACATGGGCCACTTTCCAGCTTGGACTCTTGCCCAGCACTGTGGCGGGAACGCGCGAGGGCAGTTTCACCGTCTCAATTCACGTGCATACGCCCAGGTATCAGTCCCCGCCTGCGGGGCAAAGCTGCCACCTGCCAGGGGGACCCCCCTCCCGACCTGACCAAGCGTCAGTAGCATATTGTCGTCAAACCTGCCGAGCTGCTGCCAGTTGGATGCTCCCCCAGCTGGAGCAATTTCAATTGTACTGCACCGATACATTCCTAAAGGTGCAGCCTTGAAATTACTTGCTCATGCCACTGCTGGTGGAAGGGCCCTCTCATACTGATCGTTGGACAGAGGTGGAGGGATTTATACAATTGCACCATTGTTTCATCCAGAGTTGATAAACGGCACCAGGTAAACTGGTAACCGATCGTATGCGATGCGGTTGCATAAAAGATGCGATGTAAAAACGATTCACGCATTACTGCTGTTGTGGTTTAATTAATGGCCAGCGTATAGGCCCAGTTCTTGGGACAGGAGGCCATCAGTCAAACTCGGTATCGTTGTCATCATTAAAACACGCAGCGCCTGCCGAAGCTGCACCGGACGCGGGAAGCCAAGTGGCGGTCACACGAAGACGGTTCACGACTGGCTCAAGACCACCCAACAGATTTGAGCGGCAACTCAACGCTCGCTTGTGTTATTGCAGTGAAGAACCTCCTCCTTGTTGTTTTACTTAGTCGGAGATGCCCACCACAGAAAGCAAAAATCCCAGGGGGGGGGCTCCAGCGCCTTAAGTCTATCACGAGCATCTGCAGCGAGGGGAAAACGCGGAGATATTAGATGTCTTTGTACATTTGGGTTGTAAGTGTCCGTCATACCTAGGGACGTAAGCAGAGGGTTAAGAAGTGTGTTGCATGAGAAGGGAGGCTCGGTGCGAGGTCACATGACCCACTCCACCAGAGGAGAAAGGTCAACTTTCGTGTGTTCAGAGGCAGGTGTTGGAAGTAGTGATTTCATCCTGTTATCTGGAATGAAAACTGTCCCCTGCATAATGACAATTTATACCGAGGCTGGACACCGCAATTAGACACTGTGGTTTTTGTGACTTGTGTCAGTCCAACTTATCAAGAAAACTATTAAACAAGCTTGTATATGCGTATGACCTTTCAATGCAGGTGCATGCAGAAGGGCGAGATATATTTCCCGCACCTACGATTAGCACGGTTTGGCTATGCACTGTACATTTTGAGACAAGACGGAGTGTAAGCAACAAAAGTTTTAAATTACAAAATCGAAGCAAATGCGAATCGTTGACTCTTGCTTGAAGAGGAGGGGGGGGGGTGATGAGTGTAACACATGCGTCGAAGGGCCGATCACCTAGAAAGGCGTGCGGATCGCACTCAGAAGAGGGGGCGGCCAAGAGGAAGAGCCATCAAACCACATGGGGCATAACTAGAGTTGTGCCGATCTTGGCAGAAGGGGCCAAAGGCGAGAGGTGCGGGTAGCGTCAACGACATCAGCCATGACGTAGCCCTTGATCTTGGCGCAGGGAATCACGGGCTCCATCCGTCACCCTAGGATGCCCAAGAGTTTGTATCGATACAGAAGATGACAGATGAGGGAAGAAAAAAGCACCGTCACTCTGCCCACTCGTGCAACCCTTGACCACGAACCATAAACACAGAGCAATCACCACTTTAAAAACACAATTTTAAGTAATGCTTTTGACATGGCCCGTGATTATATTAATTGCTTAAGAGCAAGCAGAGGTCACTCTTGCCAGTGAGAGACGGGGAACAGCGGGGGCAGTGCAAAAATTTGACACAGTCCCTAAAGTCTTTCATTTAATTCGCCCAACGAAAGGAAAAGACTTATAGCTTCATCAAAGTGCATTATTTCCGTCAGATTTGTCAACGCGATTACTTGGCTCATTGAGCCGGTTTGCCCGTTTCCCGATGACAGCCCTAAACAAGTGGTGGAAATTCAACAATCCTCTGGCAAGGATGACATAAGTAGTCTATCCAGTGGCTGACAGCCGTTGACTTTTACACCAAGTACCATATTTTAGCAACCCTGGAGTGATGATGGGCCGAGTCAGCCCCCAACCAGGATTTAAACTCGCACCCTTTCGACTACAAATCCTCTCTCAAGCAAGCAGAAGGCAGCTTGCGTTTTACTTCTTTGCGGGGCGGAAGCCACTGGCAGTCCATGATTGTATATGATTGTATAATTGTACTCGTGACATTAAGTCGTGTAATTGTCATACAACTGGCACAACTCGACGCCGAACTGGTGAGAATGCAGAACGCTGCTCGCTCTCACTCCGGTAAACACCTCATTGGGTGGGGGGGGTGTGCTTTACAGCCAGTGTGTGACCTTGACATTTCCTTTCAAACAGAACTACAAATCCAATAAGCCATTGTCAAAAGGTAAGTCGCAGCAAACGGCCCCCCGTCAATGAAAATGCATTCAACATTCATTAGGCTTTTTTTTTTATTTGTGTAAAAACGAAAGATACGCGCTTTCAAAAGAGAGCCACGCTTTCTTGACAAGCTAGTCGTGAATTTAAATCATGTCGGGGAGGTTGTGTGTTCAGGCCCACACTGCGGAGGGATGGAGAGAGAGAGAGACGTTAACTATTGAAACTCCGCTTGTCACGAGGGCAGATTTAATCGCTTTAACTCGTTCACTGCCCAGTCAATTACGTGTCGTGGACATCGCCAATTAAAGTGCGCGCGTTAATTAGCCACGCTGCATCCCCACCCCCCCCGGGGGGGACCCGCAGTGAACAACAACACATTGTTGTCAGCTGTGTCATCATCAATACAGAACACAATGAAAATAGGAAGAAGAAGAAGAAAAAATACGTCAAAGGAGAAAGAGGGGGCAGTTTTACCGGACCGTAAAAAAAAATTCAACTGCGTAATTTGCGCAGAACGGCACGTTGATGTGGGTGGGATTCCCATTATAGTTCACGCGAATCTCTGGCAGGGCCACGCTGCTGGAGAGTGGAGTCGTGGCGTGCACACACACACACAAATGCATGCCCACTCCGGTTCATCGCTAATTAAAGTGGCTTTACCTGTGCAGCACTGAAGGACAATTTCCTTAAATTAAACGTGCGGTCACATCCCCGCTGAGATATACAAAAAAATCACACGCGCAGAATTGACGGCCAGTCCTGGGTGAGCAATGCAAAAGCATGTATTCATATTCTTAGGTTTTTTCGGTAAAGTCACGTAGGTAAAAAATTCAAATTATAAAAGTGGAACAGTCACAGCACGATAGCTGCAAAAGCATGTGCCAAGATACTAGACTCAGGGTTTTTGTTTGTTTTAACAGCGGCACGCGATGACCTTCTTCCTACCAATGATGTCACGTCGTTAATGGCAATAAAAGCCGATAATTACGCAGATGTTGCGGTAATAAATGTACCGCATGGGCGATAGCCAACTCTCCGCACTCAAGCGACGCAAAAACTCTTGGTTGATATCCACTTTCAATTCCTCTTTAGGTGCTAATGCGGCCAATGCGACTGGGTCTGAAATGCGAAAACCACTTCCGCCTTTGTAACATCAACGGCTCGTGAACATTTTCGCGTTTAAAACCCTCGCAACTTTCCCCAAACGCACACAAAAAAAGGAGAAACCAGACCAATCAGAGGCCTTCAAAAAAGCCAGTGGCATCACCAACAAACATTAAAATGCCGGTGCCGCAACGTAAAAACTCACCCTTGGCTTTCTCCCACGAATTCCAGTCGATCTTACTTTGGTTCGCGGCCATGCTACTCAACAGCTGACGGCGGCAGACGGGGACGGAGGGAGATTCTGCAGGACCGCCTCGTCGTGACAACGAGACGCCGCTTCGCCTGCTGCTGATGTTACTGCTGATGATGATGTTACTGCTGCTGCTGCTACTGATGCTCTTGCTACTGATGCTGCAACTGCTGCTGCTTCTGCCGTCACTGCCACTCCCGCTGCTGCTGCTGCAACTGTTGCTGCTGTTGATGTCAGTGCCGCCGTCGTCACCGAAGCTGCTCCTGCTGCTGCAGCTGTTAATGTCGCAGCTAACGTTGTCGTATCGACTACCACTGCTGCTATCGCTATTACTGCTGTTGTTATTGCTGCTGCTGCTGCTGCTGCTGCTGTTGAAGCTTCCGCTGTTATCGGTCGCGTTACTGCGACTGCTGTAGCTGCTGCTGCTGTTGCTGTAGCTCCCTTTACTGCCGCTATTGCAGCTCTCCTCGTCGTTACTGCTTCTGCTGCTGTAGCTGCTGCAGCTGCTGTAGCTTCTGCTGCTGTAGCCGGCGCTGCGGTGAAGCTGCGGGGGCAGCAGCAGCAGCAGCAGGAGGCGTCGCGGGCCCGGGCCGGGTGTCGCGCGGAGCCAGGGGACGCGTCTCACTGCCAGAGCCCCCAGCAAATTGGCAATCATTAATTTACTCAGCGCGCAGACCAGACGAAGGAATGAGTTCGTTCGCGAGCCGCTGTTGTCGCTGCTGTTGTTGTTGCTAATCGCCGCGGTGGTTGTTGTTGTTGTTGTTGGTACCGCTGTCGACTGGCCGCACTGTACACGCCCCCACCCCCGATTTGTATTTTCTAACGCGGATGAGCGGCGGGGCGCCGCCTGATTGGTCGCTCGCGCGCGCGGTCACGTGGCGCACCGCGGGGCCAATCGCGAGCCGCGCGCCAATGGTTTTGCGCTCGCGCCTGCCCATTGGAAGGGCGCGAGTGGGGAGGGGGGAGGGAGGGGGGGGTTGGGTTAAGGGGCGGGGCGGACGGGGGTTAGGGGGGTGAGGAGGGGGTCGGGAGTGAGGGGGGGGCGGGGCTTAGGGAGGGGGTGGGGTGAAGGGGGGAGGTGAGGAGGGGGTCGGGGGTGAGGGGGGGGTGAGTGGGGGGGGGGTGACGAGGGGGTGGGGTTAGGGGGGTGAGAGGGGGGAGGTGAGGAGGGGGTCGGGAGTGAGGGGGGGGGTGACGAGGGGGGGCGGGGTGACGAGGGGGTGGGGGTTAGGGGGTTGAGAGGGGGTGGTGAGGAGGGGGATGAGGGGGGGCGGGGGTTAGGGTGGGGGCGAGGTGAGGGGGGGGCGAGGTGAGGGGGGGGCGAAGTGAGGGGGGGCGAGGTGGGGGCGAGGGGGTGGTGAGGAGTGGGGCGAAGTGAGGGGGGGCGAGGTGAGGGTGGGGGCGAGGTGAGGGGGGGGCGAGGGTCGGAGGCGAAGTGAGGGGGGGCGGGGTGGTGAGGAGGGGGGCGAAGTGAGGGGCGGGGGCGAGGGGGGGGGGCGAAGTGAGGGGGTGGGGGCGAGGGGGGGCTGATGGAGCAGTAGTGGAGAGTTTCCCACACCTGGGCAGAGTGCTTTATGACCGGCTCCGGTTTGACAGCAGAGGTCTCAACTCCGAATCAGTGGAGCGGCATTCTCTTCTTATCGTCTGCGCAATGCTGGCTGGAAGTCGCCTACCTGGCCTGTCGCTCCGCACGAAGCGTTTAAAACCGTGTGACCATATCCGTACCAAGGCAGTACAAAGTCGGATTGTATACATTATGGTGCCATATGATGGCTTAAAGGGCCAACATTGCTGCTGTTAAAAAACAAAAGATCAGTGGGACAAGATATGTGATCATTTATTTCTACTTTCCTGTCCCAAACCATCTTCAAATCTGGACTTGGACTGAAGGGGGAGGGGGCATAAAACATCGATGTATCGGTAACATCGATGTTGTCGAAGTTTGTGTGTTTCACACTGAATTTTTAAAAATACGAAGAATACAAAAATGTCCATCTGCTGCCTTCATTTTAAGGACTGATGAAAAACAAAAACGGATTCCTCTCCAAATGTCTGTGTGCTGTAGGTGAGTGTTAGCCTTACAACACACTCCGTGTGCCTTTTATAGTTTTGTATAACCTTATAATAATTCAATGTTTCGTCATTTTGGAAAGGAGACTGAGGGTTGAGAACAGACCCCTTCAACAACGGCCTAATACCACTGTCATTTGATATTTCTAAATAAATGCGATTATATATTACATTATAGCCTGACAACGACCTGGTTTGTGCTGAGTGTTGGGTAAAGCAGAGCAGGTGGAAGACTCAACTCCTGCCAGATTTGAGTTGAGCTGCAGTTTTATTTTTTTTACATCAAATCTGTATAAGAAGAGGAGACGTGGCATTTCCCCCACTCACGGCCAGAAGTGAAGATCCAACTGAACACAGTAGTAAGGGGTCCAAGTCACGTTCAGCAGATTACAGAAAAATTTTGCCCAATTATTACGTGCTGTTTTGACAACTTCTGGGACATAAACAGCATTCCCCCCTTTCCTTCATATTTATTCTTTTCAATTACACGTGGGGGGGGGGGGGGGTTGCTAGTTATTAACAGCCATCAAGTGTGCACACTAACATTTTTTATTATCAAAATGTCAACTGGTGTTTCAGGAAATGATCTATCCTTTCAGAATATGAAGAGGGTAGATTTTAAAATATGTATTCGTAAAGCAAGTACGACCGTTACTGCAATGCATTATGGGTGGTACACTAGAGATAGACATGTGTGAATAGCTAATTTTATAACAACAACAACTAAATGGTATTTATATACAATTATACATTTGTGTAATGGATAACACGCTGGACTTGCAATCCTGAGATCACCAGTATTTAACATTTGACATGACGGCAGTTCAAACTAAAATTACGTTTCTTGACACCGCCCTGTATCCACCCAGTGGCATAAATGGGTACACACCAGAGCCGAACAGCAGGTCTCGTCTGGTGACGATAACGGGCTGGGTTCTCACAACTCCTCGGCGTGTGGCCCACCAGCGTGGAAGAGGAGGCCAAGTACCCTCCAGAGGGGCTCTGTTTAGAGCCCCCACAACGCAGGCCTTGCCTCCAACAGTAGCGTGAGCAGGACATTTCAGGACTGCGCATTTGACGTATTTAAATATTTTCAAGGGACATTTTCTTCAACTACTGCATGCAATATTTTCTCCACACTCAAAATGGCCATTAACTGATTTTTCAGATTCCACGCATAATATTTTAATTATAAATCGGTTATTAGAAGCCTTTTATGCCCCTAATTACACATCATAGCCAGCACTCTCCAAGCAATTTCGTGTTAACGTTATTACCAAGCAAGAGTTCGGCTTGGGAATGAAAAAGTGCTTTAATACCGAATAAAAAACATGCGTGCATGTTTTTAGGGTATCTAAGTTCAACAATAAAAAAAAGAGTGAGAGTAATGTTACTTCCATATTGTGGTCATTTATTTTTCCCCAGTGAAAGTGCTTCTCTCCTGGCAAGGCGTCATCTCTTGCGTGAAAGTGAAAAATAATAATGAAGAGACTTAAAACAAATCTTCAAATTAATCAATCAAGTCCACGAGCACTATCTAAATGGGCAAAAGTCTAAAAACTAAATTTATCAAGGAACATTTCCGTAAAGGGGTTAGGATTTGGGTTAGCGCTGCATAAGCGTTAACGCCACCGAAAGTAAGGGCTTTGTCTTTGGAGGGGCAGATTAGCAATTCTGAAATGTTTAAATGCTGACAGACAGATCTTAAGAGATAGAGAAATAAAAATTTGTCCGACTACAAATAAAAGTTTATCGGTGAGTGCAAACTGGCAATGTCTGATGACAAACACATGTCTCGTGTAACCTTCCTTCAATTGGGATGAGGCCTGGTTTTGAACCTGTGAGCCCTGGTTTTGAACCTGTGGATTGCAACTCCGCAGTGTATGTGTAACATTGCCCTGTATGCGACAAGGAGGGTTCTCTTACTGATCGAAATTAAAGCAATTCATTGGCGACAATACAAATAGTACGCCGATCCACGTTTTCCCAGTTATGCCACGTGGGAGTAGTTTATGCCAAAATCCTTGCCATTAATCATCCCCCACCCGACAAGATTGCCACGTTTAAAACAACATAATTTATACGTGCCAGTGCATCGATTAAATTGTGGCCAATGAAGTTCGTCGCCAGCTGCTTAAGATTTCTCACGACTAAATTTAACAAACGACGTATTTGACTGCTTCGAGTTTCATCGGGTAATCGTCTAAATTTCTGAGTAGGCTACCTGACGTCTTTCACGACATGTCCTAAAACAAATAAATACACGGATCGTGGCATTGGCCACAGAAACCTATGTTTCATGTCGACAGTACACTCTGAGCATGTCCCGGTAGCACTTAAATGGGAAAACATGAACCAGGTTTGGCATCGCTGTTGCCAGCAGTGCGTAGAATATTAAACCAACAATACTGGGTACACAATTGCTATGCGCAATAGCCATCCCTAATGTTATGCCCAATCGCCATCCATAAGCAATGAGACAAAAACACGATTTGCTGCGACAAAGAATTAATGTTTTTTTTTTTATAAATACGCGCGTGTGTGTGGCTACGGAGAATTCACACATCAATCAAAGGAAGTACTAAATTAAAGATATGAAAGTTTTTGTTCCTGATGGCCAAAGAGGCCAAACTTTAACACACACGTAAGCGTTATTCAACAACAACACCACCACATATATGCATACAGTGAGATAAATATTTCCAGGTCGAAAATAATTGTTATGCACCAATTGCTTATCAAGCTAAAATTACAAACTTAACACACTTGGAATCCTGGCTTCATCACCTGCCGTGGCCTGGATTCGAACCTAGGTTGTCAGCAGTAGCCAGTGCAGTGCTCTGACAAGTGTTGGACCTCCGATCAACCCAGCTGCCCCCACTGATGAGTAACTCCGAACGCTCTCCAAATCAGTAACCTCGCAGATTTTACTGGTAGGAACCCCCTGGTTACACCAGCCCACAGGGGATTATTGTGTCCGTCCGTCCGTCGTGCAGGGAGGGGCTGGGTGGGGAGGAGCTGGTTGGGGAGGATGGGGCTGGGTGGGGAGGGGCTGGGTGGAGAGGGTGGGGAGGAACTGGGTGGGGATGGGCTGGGTGGGGAGGGTGGGCTGGGTGCGGGGTGAGAGGGGTGGGGCTGAGTGGGGAGAGGCTGGTCACCCCGTGGTGCCCTTATAAAACTCAACGTTTAACCTACTCACGCCGGCTTGTGCCCGCCCTCGTCATCTGTGCATTCACTTTGCCACTTGTTCCAGCGATTTAATGGTCAAGTACTTACTTATCAGGAGGGTTACGCGTTGTTCCAGCTGCCCACTGACCTACCAATGTTACCTGTCGGTGATCACTCTCCATACCAATTGCATTTCCTTGCTGATTTGCTGCACATGGCTCTTTAATTCCCCCCACACACCCCGCACTAAACTCGGGAACTCATCACTTACCTTTGTCATTTATATAGAGCACTTCGCATCAATAAGGGCGTCTCAAGAGCGCTTTACATACACAATTGACACTAACGACCAACACTTGGACGATATACAATACAAGGCATATAGTTCAAAACGACAAATTAGAGTATCCGAGGCAATATAATTGAAACTAATGAAGGCTTCTACAAATTATCAACAAGACCAGGCAGTCGGATCAAGAAATAACGCGGCAAAAGCAGAAACCCACCAAGATGCACTGAAGTCGTGGACCTTTCAACACACGTTTACAAATATTAAAACTATCTGCCCATTCTGATGTTAACAG